GCCACCCTCGCGTTTGACTTCGCGACTGACAACTTAATTGTGGTGTCCGGGCAACCAAATGCTACTTTCGTGGCATGTCCGAAGGGGACTTGACGGAAACTTTCAACGCGCTCAATCCCAATGACAACAACATTAATAATTCAATTTTCTGATGGCAGTTAGGAGAAGCGCAAGAGAAGAAACAGAAACCGGAAGCAAGCGGAGAGAAGGGGAGTAGCTAGACACGTGCCTACGCCCACTTCCCCTTTCTGAATTTGTTGTCTCAATATTTGGAAATTACTTCTGGGGGCAGGTGCATAACCCATGGCCTCGCCACTTGGCTGAAAGCGATATCCCTAATCTATTTAACCTCCATGTCAACCGAGCCTGTTATGACCCACCAGACGCAATCTAAATTACCTTGGCTTGTGTGCCCTAGAATGTGTCGTCACATCCTGTCATTGGATAAAGTGCCGTTTTAATAAGCATTTCGGAGGCTAACCTTTTTGTGAGTTTGTTTTGGGGGTGATGGCCTTGTTTTCATTTTTGCTAATGGCCCACAAGTCGGCCATTGTAAAGCTGGTCGAATGACTGGCTGAGCCTACTCAAGACTTACGGCCCTTCACCCAGAACCGACGGGGCCAGACATTCTGCTGGAGAAATAAACCTGTTCTGGGGAACAGCACCAATGGGTGCCTTGGGGCGGTCAGGAAGGCGGCCTAATGAGTTTTGGGCCATGAAGTTATTAGGCTTTTGACTGAAAGGCGCAAGATGGAATTGCATATGTTCCATTGAAATGAGCTCTTTGGAAATAGGTGTCTCTTAGCACTTAAGGGTTTTACAGAAGATCTGAAGTAACATGAACCGGAGCAAAAAATCAAAAAAGGTGACGGAAGGTACAACTCAAAGGAGGTTATTTAACACAAAAGAGTTTCTGTGTTTATTTAAATAAAAATCTCAAACAGATTCTGAAATGTGACAATAATGCGACCCATTATTTCCAATATCCTTCTGCTAATGCTTTACTAAGCAGTCGACGATTTGGGAGAACCATCAAGACCAAAAACCAACTTCCTAAAACTTTGAGGGACTTGGCAGCAAATAGGACTACAATTTGTATGATTCACGTACAACTCAACCCTGAAACCGTATTCCCTGAGGTGGAAAAATGTGTTAGGCATTTGTAAGTGTAACTAACAGATTCAAATCAGATGAGAATGCTACCGGGGTCGAAAGGAACAAGGCGATACAGGCACACAATAAAAATTAAAATAAGAACCTCATCGCTCAGCCGCAGCGCCGCGACACCAAGGCTCTGAAACACAGAGTAAGATACATTCTGGCAGATATGACACTGGAAACAAACGACCCAAACAAATTACGCTTTTTTCTCCACTTTATTGTTGGCAATTTATTTTCTGCGAAATTGAAATACACACCATTTACCTGCAGAAAACACTGCACAGCCCCTGACTCCTGTGACATTGACAAACAGTTTTAACGGGGGTCGAAAAATGACACATAGGTTGGCATTGGGTTTTTCTTAGATCCTGAGATCATAATTCACTTTTCTATCTTTTGGCCAAGAAACCAATTTTATAACGAGTTTCTTTTCCAATGATTCAAATTCAAACTGTGATAATATTCTTTGTTTAATCTATTATTTCTTTGTTTTTCCAGAACTCTGAAAACTTGAAAAAACTTGGGGGTGGGATCTTTAGAAGTATATCGAAAGAAAACTGATGACTCTCTGACTCTGAAGGCTAAAATACGCTCTTCATTAGAAGAGCTCTTTCGTTAACAGAAAATGTGAGATTTTAAGGAATGCGCACTACTACTATTTCTGAAGATATGTGTTGGCAATACTAACATATGAATATACCAGCAATACCAACATTTCGAGTCCAAGGCTCAATTGGCGTGTGGAATAAATGACCCGGACTCGGCACAGTTTTTGATTTTAATTTAGATAAAGTGCGCTATGGAAATCAGTTTCGCTGTAACTTTTCCAGTTTATCCGAGCTCCAATCGGGCCAGACAACTAAACACTCCATAAATACAACAAGGGGAGGACTGTGAGGAAGTGGGAGGGGTGAGCTGGAAGCTTAAGGTAAGCTGTAAATTGCACGCTTTCATGTAGATAATTAATCACCGCGAACATTCTGCAAGTGGTTTGCTCAATGTGCTCCGGTTGTTGTGGAAGGTTCCAGTTTCGTATCGAATTCGGTCTGGAAATTTTGCCACAGACGAGGATTTTGCGGCCAACGTAAGTGTAGTTTAATGTAAATTTATTCTTGATCTTATCCGTATAATTTTAAGTTCAGAACGCCAGTGTTGAGCATTGCGAAGGACGAGATTTATTGTCAGCGCAATTTTCAGAGGCACTCACGGATGTGGAATCAATTATACGTCCTGTTGGGCACTCGATGCACGATAGGAAATGGAAATTATTTGATATAAATTAATGCAATTAAACATTGGGCTTTTCCAAGTCTGAATTTGCATAGAACTATATGGTATTAATTCGAACAACACCGTTGGATTACTTTTTATTAACGTGGTTTGAAAGTTCGAATGATAATGCTTTGAATGTGGATAACAACCTCAAATTTCTTTTTTAATATGAAACAATAAATATTAATCATTTAATACTCTTGCATGTCAATCAAAAAAATAATTTCAAATAATAAAAAGAATTGTGGACAAGTGCAGAAACTGCAGTAAAATTCTGATTAATTAAAAATAAAACAAAAAGGAAAGCTAACTTCGGGCGGAGCCGACGTTGATATACCATATACATATGCAGGGCCGTAGCTAGAGCCTCGGAGGCCCTGGGGCAACAAGTAAATTTGGGGCCCCCTATACGGAAGTCTTTTGCCCCGGCGGGGCCCCTTCCCTTCGGGGGCCCTGGGGCACCGCCCCATCTGCCCCATGCTAGCTACGGCCCTGTACATATGTATTTATAAAGCAAACACTAACCAAACATCCTCTTGGCTTCGGTCATTTCCTAACAAAGTAGTTGTCAAATAACAATTAAGCTTAACGACAACGAATAAAAGTGCTCAAAAATTCAATAGAGCGCAATACAAACCACTCGGACAGAGCAGCTGGGACTAGGATGAGGTAAACTTGGACCTTGGACTTTCTCGTGGATATTCAAAAAACTTTTCCATTGCAACTGGCAAAATATTTAAATGTAACTCAATTTTAAACGCAATATGCGCTCAGAACCACTTCGGCGCAGAGAGCGTCGTCACTCGTAATACAAGATATTTTGATTTGATTTATTTACGAGTTCAATTTGTGCACATTATTTTTCCAATATTAAGCTTTGATACGGATGCAATCGAGTCGACTCGACTCCTCAGGGGAATGCAAACGAAAATCAATTGAATTTTACCAACGGCGAGTGCAAAAGCGAATCCAGAGTGCAAAAGCGAAAGACAACTAATATTTTTGATGTGGAAAGCAATTTACGTTCCACATACATTCTTATGACAAGGGATGAAAACACGCAAAAAGTTTTCATTTCCGGATGTCGTAGCCAACCTAAAAAACTGACTTAAAGAATGCATGATGTGGAACAATTGTAGAGGAACACAAGCTTTTTTGGTGGAAGTTTTTTACTTGCAGCTCATAATTACATGAAAAGAAAATTAGTGTCGAGATTCGCTTTGAGCGCCTTCCCAGGTGAAAACTTTTAATGAGCAATTTTCTCACAAATTCCCAAGTGTTGCCGCCTTTAATATTTTGGTGGAAGAATTTCTTTTGGAAGCCAACTCTTAATGGGGGCCAAAGCGACCCGAAAAGTCATTCAGCGACCATTTAATCTTGAAATTTTCTTCAATCGATTTCGCCTACGTTTAGAGCTCGCATATTTCGTCTTCCGGCTTTTCGAGTGCTCCACTTTGGAGTGGGCCAGGCCAGGCCATCTATGTAGGTGTTTGTTTTTATTTATCGGACGTAGCGAGCAGGGGTCCCGACCCATGTTAATGGCCGATTGACACGCCACTTGGCCTTGATGAGGCTTTTAGCCTAGCTCTTACGTACCGCCTTTAACTATCCGTACCTGAAAAAGGGAGAAACGCTCTGCACTTCACAGGATTAATGGAGGGGGGAAAACACTCGCCGTGGGGAATTCCCACACTAGCAGAACGAGGTGTTAACTGAGCGTGATGATTGCTGCTACTTTTGATAGGGCGTCCGCATAAATATTTCTCTCCTGCTGTAAACACGTTTTATTCAGACAAGCAAGTCCCTTTGTTGTTATCTAAAAGTATATAATTAGCTGTTCCCATTATTGCAAATATTTAAATTACAATTCTGGAAGTACGTTAATAACTTTTTACCTTTTCTGTTGTCTTTTCAAAACTTGTAAAGTTATGAACGTAATATTTTTACAGTAAGAGTAAAACAATTGTAGTCACAGTACAAATTTTAGAAGCTTTTGTGTTAAATTTCAGCAGTTTGAAGCATTTAGAAAACAAAATTTGATGAAAACCACGTGGCACTGAAAATCTGAAAACCTAAGATGGCGGACTGCACCAACTTGTTCAGATGCCGTGACGTGGTAGTATTCATATCCGAGGAGCACCTACCTAATCACTAAAACCACGCCATAATAAAAAATATTTTAAATAAAGCTGCATATATAATAAATCTGTAGATCGGTCAGGTTGGACAGTTTCCCCGACCTTGAACAGGGAAATAATTTAAAAGGATCTAAGGGTCTGGTCTAAGGGAAACCTTCGAACTAAATCAAGTGTCTGTTCGGTGTCAGTTTAATTGCAAACGTAAATTGGATGCTGTCATTTGGTACGTTTTCATTTGTTCGAATGTTGCCACCCCCAGCACACAGCCCAGCACCCCTGGCAGTTTGCATTCGACTTGTGCTGCCAACCATTCTGATGGACATTTCTGGCACCGGCTGCAGCTTCAGCTTCAACTTCATCTAAAGGGGCTGTTGCAGTTGCAGGAATCTGTCTGAATGCAAACGTTGCACAAATCCCAATTTTTGTTAATTGGACTCATTTCTGATAGCCGGCAGCTTGTATAATTTAAATTGGCATTTCTGACAGGCAGACACACTGGAGAATCCAGTCCACGTTTTTATTTAACTGAAAAATATAACCTAATGTACAAAAACCATTTCGGTATCCTCCTTAGCCTCTATGTTATCCTTTTCTTCTTTCTTATTATTTTCCTTGGACATTTGAAGCAGGTTCCAGTCATAAATCCGGTCGTTGATATACTTTTGGCGCTCCATTAGATCAGCAAAGTTTTTCCGTAAATTATTATAGTGGGGCTTATCTTCAAATCCCATGGCACGGCAGTAGCCAATGTAAGACGCAAACTCTTCCGGAAAGCCTAAGCACAGGTCCTCTAAACGAGTTGAAGCCTTGGTCTCAGCTATGAGTTCGTAGCGCTGCTTTTTGCTCACCGCCTTTAGGCCCTGCCACGGTAAGTTTCCTCGAAGGAAGTACATCAGGACATAGCCCACTGACTCCAGGTCATCGCGCCGTGACTGCTCGCCTCCATTGAGTGCATTAACGGAAGCATAGCGAGCCGTGCCGGTGAGTCGGTGTCCATTCTTGTACGATACGTGCTTGTTACTTTCACTATTCCAATAGCTTTTAGCCAATCCCATGTCAATAATGTAGACCCGATGCTGGTTAGCACCCAAGCCCATCAGAAAGTTTTCCGGCTTAACGTCGCGGTGTAAATAGTGATGAGAGTGCAGGTGGTCCAGCCGCTCAATCATTTGGTCCGCAAGCATAAGGACGGTCTTCAGTGAAAAACGACGCGAACAGCAAACGAACATTTCCTCCAACGAGGGACCCAGCAGCTCCATCACTAGCATATTATAGCGGGACTCGGTGTTGAACTCGCGAATTCTTGGTATGCCTATTCCACCCTGGATGATCTTGTACAGCTTAAACTCGAAGTACAACTGCAACTGGTTGGTATCATTTCGCTCAACTTTGATGGCGACGCGTTCCCCTGTGATTCTCTGCTCGGCCATGAAGATGTCCCCGAAGGATCCGGACCCGATCTTGCGACGAATCAAGTAGTCTCGGATGACCATTGGTTGGTTTAAGTAGCCGTCGCTGTTCTCATCATCACTCATTTTTATTAGATTAAAAAACAATAGTCCTTCCTTTAAGTGTGTAAATTGCGGTTTTTTAGCTTTAGGGTCCAGGGTTCCACCACCGACGTTTATCGATAACTGATTCCCATCGCTATATAATCTAGCATTGCCAAATTAATATGTTATAAAATAAGTCAATTTTTGGATAATATGTATTTACTAAAATTATTTGTAAAAAATAATTTTTTAACTAAAATTATTTGTAAAAAAATAATTTTTTACGATAATTTTACTCCAAATATAAGATATTAATTTAATTCATTACAAAAAATTTTAATAAATTTTGGAAAAGTTTATGACAAAAAAATATTTTTTGTCTACTTTCTTAACTAAACTATAAATTCTCAATTAAGTAATACAATTGATAGATTTTAATTTAATTTTTATATATACATAAATATGTTAAGGTTGTAAATATATGCTCCGTCGTCATCTTAAATAGAGATGGAACAATGTTTAGTTACAAATTTAATTATATCGGCACAAATATCGTATAGTAAAAACATCAACTTTACAGATTAGCCTAGTATTCAGATCGACAAAAACTGTTTTTCAGCTATGGGTGTGAGCGAGAGGGAGTGTGGGAGTGTCATAAAACAGTTTTTGACAGGATCTTTTCGCTACCCCGTACTCCAAAAAAAAAAAAATAAGCAAAACGGAAAGACACTTGAGCTTATACGCGAAGTAGTGAGATCGAAAAACTTTCGACGAGTAAGAACGTTTATTCTTTCCAGTGTGATCGGAAATTTCCAAGTTACGCACTCTGGTCACTCATAAAATTGATTTGAATTTGAATTTAGACAATGTTGGAAAATGAAAAAAATGAAAATGAAGAAAATGAAAATGATTTTCAACTTATTTGAGTGTAAAAATTTTCATTTAAAATGATTTGTGTTCAAAATGGCGCAATTGGTGTCATGAAATTGGCATTTAAAATTTGGTTTGTCCCACAAATCTAAAATGGCGAGAACAATTTAATTCTACTAATTTACAATTTCTCTATTTACAGTTCTACAATTTCTACTATTTTAATTGGATCTATAATTTTCAGCGCATCGCATTTAACATCTTAACTTTGGCCTCTTCATTCATTTTTTCCTTATAAATAAAAAAAAAAATACCCAGTAAAGTTTATCCCTAAACGGGATGAATGATAAACATTTTTAATCTTTTCGGAAGGACTTTGAATTTGATTGAAGTTATTTTTTTAATAAAACTTATTTTGGTGCAAGTTGGCATCCCCATGTAAGTTTCTGGTATTTTTTTTTCTGAGTACGGGTGACGAAAAGATCCCGTCAGAAACTTTTTTCTCCTATTTGCCTCCCGCTCACTCTCATAGCTGGAAAACAGTTTTTGTCGATCTAAGTACTAGGGTTTAATTTTAGCAAAACTATAGCGTTTTCAATTTGAATATTTGGATTACGGGATACATATAAATAATTAAAAATTTCGGTAGAAGCTGACATTTAAAAATGTAAATTGGTGTGCATTTAAAATACTGCTTCATATTCAGTGTCACAATGTCTAATTTCAAAAGGTGAGGGTTAAAATGTCAACGGTTTTAAATTATACCCTTCACTCTAAGACATGCAATAAAATAAGAAGGTTGATTGGCGTGGCCAAATTATAATCTAATTGGCAGCCATATCAATGACCTCACACGGGCTCTTTCCGTTGTCAATTACCGGACCTGGTTTCAGGAACCTCTGTGTTCTCCCCAAAGCCGCTTGTAAAAAGGCAGTTAAGAACGAGTTGAGAAATTAACTATGTAAGTAAAACACGAGCATTTCCGTTTCACCGACATGCAACAACCGGCAATAAAAATTGCGCCCGTTCCATCAGTACACTTTTGTACAGTGGCTCGAAGCTTATTTCGTGCAAGAACAAATTACAATTTTAAATCAACATTGCTGCCAAATTAGAAAAGATTTTTAAAAAATTTAAACGCAGTAATATAAATAAACTCTTTATTAACTAATAGGAACAAAAAAACTTACTAATCTACAAAAACAAAACAACTTTTCATAAAAAACTAAAAAAACAAGGCACTTCTGGCGTCGAAGCTTATTTCGTGCAAAAACTTAAAACTACTATAAAATATGAAAATTCTTAAATCTAATATTTGGTTGGGCCTCCCTTTTGTTTTTTAACTGCTTTTAAACGGTTTCCCATTGATTCCACTAATTTTTTGTGGTTTCAACGGGAATTTTTCGCCATTCCTCCAGCAAGGCAATCTTCAGCTCATTTCGGTTGCTTATTGTTCTCTTCCTGATCGCCTGATCCAAAATCTCCCACAAATTCTCAATTACGTTGAGGTCTGGAGACTGTGCTGGGGTTTTCACTACATGTGGGCAGTTCCAGACCAACCAAAGCTTCACGTTGGCAGCAGTGTGCTTGGGGTCATTGTCCTGGTAAAATCGGAATCGGTCCAGTATTCCCAATTTTTCTGCGCTTTGTGGCAAATTTTCTTTTAAAATGTTAAGGTACATTTTAGCATCCATGATTCCATCGATAAAAACTAAATTACCGACCCCAGATGCAGCCATACAGGCCCAAACCATAACATGGCCACCTCCGTGCTTCACCGTAGGTTTTAGGTTCTTCGGATCGAGCTCTGTATTCGCACGCCGCCACACATATTTCCTTCCATCAGACCCGAAAAGGTTGAACTTCGATTCGTCCGCAAAAATTACATCGTTCCAGAAGGTTCCAGGGTGAACTTCCATCTCCTTGACGAACTTAACACGTTCAATCATATTTTTTTTACTTATAAATGGTTTTTTCCTAGCAACTCGACCATTTAAATGGTGCTTGTGGAGTACGTTCCTGATGGTGTCTGGGCAACATTTTTTGCCCATTTCCTCCTCCACCTCTGCAGCAATTTTCGGAGCCGATAGCTTTGGGTTTTCCTTTACTTTTCTAACGATCCGTCGCTCCTCGTGGTCATCGAAAATTTTGTTGGGTGCGATTCGGCCCTTGTCTGCCACACGATTTTCCCTTACAAATCGTTGTATGATGCATTGTACCGTGCTGGGGCTTAGGCACACGATTTCGGCTATGGCGCGCTGGGTTTTGCCATCCTTAAAATGTTTTAGGACTAACTCCCTTTGCTCAATCGTTGTTCGCGGCGCCATGATCAAAAAGCAACGGTAAAAGTTTAGTTTTGAGTGACCAGCTCCAATACTTATGAAATATGCATATTTTACTATAATAATACTAGTATTTAGAAAAAAAACGGATTTAAAAGTCCCCTTTTTATAGTTTTTTTGAATTTAAAATGTTTGCACGAAATAAGCTTCGACATCAAAAGTGCCTTGTTTTTTTAGTTTTGTATGAAAAGTTGTTTTGTTTTTGTAGATTAACAAATTTTTTTTTTAGTTTTAGTTAATAAAGAGTTTATTTATATTACTGCGTTTAAATTTTTTAAAAATCTTTTCTAATTTGGCAGCAATGTTGATTTAAAATTTTATTTTGTTCTTGCACGAAATAAGCTTCGAGCCACTGTATGTATTTATGCGTGTGTGTGACATAGCATGCAGTCGATGGACACATTTCAGGCGTAAAAATCTCCACGCGAGTTGCGAATTTTCTCCTGGTTTTGTGTTTTCTGCTTCCAAGATGCATGAACGACCGAAAGGCCATCCCATAAATCACAACATAAAACCCATAAATTTCGCATGCATCGAGAAGACAGTCGGGAGAGGGACACAAACTGTGGCTGGCTAACAGGAAATCCAAAATGACCAGCCATTTGCCAATAATCATCGCAGCAAACCTTTAAAGTATATAGCCCAGTAGTAGTATACATTTCAACTATAGTTTTTCAAGAATCTGTTTAAAATAGCAAACGAGTTATTCATATTCTTTCTTTGACCGGTACTAAGTCTTACAAAAACAGCTTGTAAACGGACTTACTTATGATATAAATCAGCGAGAAATGGCAAAAAACTCGCAAAATTATTGGAAACGGTCCAGAAAAAGTGTTTAGATACAGTTATTTTATATTTCGTTTCAAATTAACATTACTGAGCTAAGTATCAAGTACAACTCGACCCGCCAGTACCACTCAGCTCTGAAAAACGGTGATCAGCCCTAAAGAGGGACTAATTGAATGTATTTGTTCAAATATAAATTCAGAAAAAGACAAGAAAGGAAAGCTTACTTCGGGCGGAGCCGAAGTTGATATACTCTTGCAGTTAAAAGCGGATATATGGTATATCGCACAAATCGGATATACATAGTCGGCCAATCCTTATGAGAATATCATAACACAACCAGTTTATTCCAATACAAAACAAACAAAAGTTCTTTACAAACAGAACAGACAGACGGACATGCTTATATCAACTCAGGAGGTGATCCTGATCAAGAATATATGTATATATATAATAAGGTATATATACTTTATTTTGGATATACTATTTGGAGCGGAGATGTCTCCTTCACTGCGTTGCACACTATTGACCAAAATTATAACACCCTCTGCAAGGTTATAACCCTTTTACGCTTGTATAACCCTTTTTTAAAATAATAAGGAACCTAAATTTTTTATTATTTATTTATTTATTACTTATTTGTTTGTTAAATTAAAATTAACAAACTGTAGCTTATTTATCATATTGCTATTTGTGAAAATATTGCTCCTTTTTTCATAAATTTAAATATATAAAGATTGAGAAAAAGCTCTTAAAATGGCACTGCTGGCTGGAATACCTAAAACTATCTAACTAACTTTAAGAAGTAGTAGATTTTGCTTTTAATAGAAATTCCACCACTCCACCAATCGTAGTTTCATCCGTTAGTGTAACGTTAAGATCCATGCATGGTATGGTAATTATGGTATTTTTATACCCTTGCAGAGGGTACTATAATTTTGGTCAAGAGAGCCACACAGTGAAGGAGACATCTGCACCATAGGTTACGTTAGATTGAGGCGGAGATATGGGGGGCCAGTCACTGACCTTCCGAATCCAATTGAGTCGCTGAGGCTCCTTGTGATACCGCATGGGCAAGGGGTACTGCAAGGGGACCCCACCCCATC